TTTCAGGGGTTGGGCTTGGCCCCTTAGTTCCAGTGAAAGGAACTCTTAATGCTTCAGCATACCAAGACATTTTGGACAATTTCATGCTCCCAACTTTGTGGGAACAGTTTGGGGATGGCCCCTTCCTGTTCCAACATGACTGCGCACCAGTGCACAAAGCAAGGTCCATAAAGACATGGATGAGCGAGTTTGGTGTGGACGAACTTGACTGGCCTGCACAGAGTCCTGACCTCAACCCGATAGAACACCTTTGGGATGAATTAGAGCGGAGACTACGAGCCAGGCCTTCTCATCCAACATCAGTGCCTGACCTCACAAATGCGCTTCTAGAAGAATGGTCAAAAATTCCCATAAACACACTCCTAAACCTTGTGGAAAGCCTTCCCAGAAGAGTTGAACCTGTTATAGCTGCAAAGGGTGGGCCAACTCCATATGAAACCCTACGGATTAAGAATGGAATGTCATTAAAGTTCATGTGCATGTAAAGGCAGATGTCCCAAAACTTTTGGCAATATAGTGTATCTATAATGATTTTTTTTTTATCCTGATGGCCATGGTGTCTTCCAAGATGGCAATGTCTTCAGCTACAGGGCACAAACACTCACTGAATGGTTTGATGAGGTTGAAAATGCTATAAATCATATGCTATGGCCTTCACAGTCAACAAATCTCAACCCACTTGAACATTTATGAAAGATTTTGGACCAATGTGCACTCTGCCTAACCATCAAAAAAAAAAAAACAACTGAGGGAATGTCATTTGGAAGTATGGTCAAGATTGAAGACTAAAGGCAGTTCAAACCCTGGGGCCTCATTTATCAACTGTGTGTATACAGTGTGTATGCATGTTTCTAGGCATTAAATAAGATTTATCAAGTTTAGCTTATGCATGAGGCTGTAATATTTGCACAACACTGGCCATGCATATGCACGAACCCCTACTGGTAAAAAAGTGTAATTGCATGTAAATGTAGTGTGCATATGGAGCTGGATAATGCAGTGGTAGTGTTGTTGCCCTTCAAACAACAGATCGGGGGTTCGAATCCCCGTCAGGGCAAGTATCCAGTAAGGGTCCAATGCTTAGACCCCAAATGCTACATAAGCCTACCTCGGAACATGAGCGAGAGAAATATAACAAAAGCCATACTGGCTCGGACATTGCACAGATTAACAAGGTCCGCGTCAGAGACAGGTTCTGGATGGATAAGAAGTACAACAAGATGTCCATATGTGAGGCTCTAGAGACTGAGGCATCACACAATGCCAAGTGGCTGGTGGATCTAAGAGTGGACCACAGCAACCTCCCAGAACAAGAGCCAGTCGTCATCACAAAGGCAGACATCCAACAACAAGGCTGAGGAATGAAGAGCTGGACAGCACCAGGACCTGACATGATCCAGCCCTACTGGCTGAAGAAGCTAACAGCACTCCATGATTGACAAATGAGTGATCTGCTAACACAGGGCAGGACCATCTTGATCATGAAGGATCCCCACAAGGGTACAACACCTTTGACCTACTGCCCAATAGCCTGCCTCTTCACAACATGGGAGCTCCTCTCAGGCATCATGTTGAACAGGCACATGAGCAAAGCTCAGAAGGGCATTGGAAACAACACCAGAGGGTCAAAGCACCAGCTACTGGTCAATAGAGCAATCATCCAAGACTCTAAGAGTGGGCAGACCAACCTGAGCACTGCCTGGATTGATTACAAGAAGGCCTATGACTCAATGCCCCACACATAGATTCTAGAGTGCTTGGCACTACACAATGCTAACAGGACACTGATAACCTTCATCAAGAGCTCAATGCAGCTGTGGAAAACAGCACTGGAAGCCATTGCACAAGTCACCATCAAGCGCAGCATATACCAAGGTGATGCACTGTCTCCACTGCTGTTTTGCATAGGCCTGAACCCCCTCAGCCAGATCATTGCAATGAGTGGATGTGGATACAGATTCAGAAGTGGAGTGACCATCACCCACCTCCTATACATTGATGACATTAAGCTTTACACCGGAAGTGAATGAGACATCGACTCACTGATCCACCTCACCAGGATCTACAGCTAGGACAGGATGTCATTCTGACTGTATAAGTATGGCTGCATAATGGCAAAGAAAGGGAAGGAGATTAGGACTGAAGGGGTGGAGTTACCATAAGTTAGGATAGCAGATATACAGGGCAGCTACAAGTAACTTGGTATCCCACAGGCCAGTGGGAGCCATGATGAGAATGCAAGGAGATCAGCTACAGCCAAATACCTCCAGAGGGTAAGACAGGTGCTGAGAAGCCAGCTCAGTGGTAGGAATAAGATCTGGGCCATCAATATGTATGCCATACCAGACATCAGATACCCAGCTGGAATAGTAATCTGGCCACAGGAGGAGATAGATACCACTGATGTCAAGACAAAAAACTCCTCACAATGCACCCTCCAGCACCCTGAGGCTCTATAAGCAGTGAAAAGAGGGAGGGCAAGGATTAGTGAGTGTCAGAGCCACTATCCAGAATAAAACAAGGAGCAACCATGAATACATCAGGAAGATGGCCCCTCGGCATGAACTGCTAAGAGAGTGCCTCAGTAATCCTACCGGTGGCTAGGAAAGGCTGGCCTGAAAGAGAGCAGAGAGGCGCTGATCATAGCAGAACAAGAACAGGCCTTAAGCACCAAATTTATTGAGGCAGGGGTCTATCATCGCCAACAGGACCCAAGGTGCAGACTGTGCAAAGACACCCCTGAAACAGTACAACACATAGTAGCAGGGTGTGAGATGCAAGCTGGGACAGCATACACCGAGAGGCATAATCAAGTGCCAAGTATGGGTTAGAAGTCGCCAAGACCTAATGGAACACACCACAGAAAGTGGTTGAGAACAGTAGAGCTAAAATCCTGTGGGACTTCAAGTTCCAGGCTGATAAGCAGCCTAACCCTAACCAACCAGACGTAGTGGTGGTTGATGAGGAGCAGAAGACGGCAGTTGTGATAGATGTGGCAATCCCAGCTGACAGTAACATCGGGAAGAAGGAGCATGAGAAGATCGAGAAGTACCGGGGCTGAAGGAACATCTGGAACAGATGTGGAAGTCCAAAGCGTTAGGGGCTGTGATTCCCAAACTGGGAGATTGGCTCCAGCAGATTCCAGCTACAACATCCAAGGTTTCTGTCCAGAAGAGTGCAGTCCTGGGAACAGCTAAGATCCTGCGCAGGACCCTCAAACTCCCAGGCCTCTGGTAGAGGACCTGAGCTTGAGGAAAGCAACCCCCCCATCCCCCCCGCCTCGTAGGGGTGAGAGGCAGACCACGCATTATTATGTATATAATTTCTTCTTTTCATACTGAACAATGTCTCTCCAGTGCATTACACTATCTTGAGCTGTCAGCATATAAAGAAAAAATAATAAAAGCAAATCTCTCTCTCTCTCCCCCACTCTCCTTCTCTCCCTCTCCCAAGATTTAGAGGTTGTATATTTATATATAGATATACACTGCTCAAAAAAATTAAAGGAACACTTTGAAAACACATCAGATCTCAATGGGGAAAAATATCATGCTGGATATCTATCTGATATGGACTGGGTAATGTGATAGGAACGGAAAGATACCACATCATTTGATGGAAATGAAAATTATCAACCTACAGAGGGCTGAATTCAAAGACACCCCGAAAAATCAAAGTGAAAAAATGGTGCAGCAGGCTAGTCCATTTTGCTGAAATTTCATTGCAGCAGCTCAAAATGGTACTCAGTAGTTTGTATGGCCCCCATGTGCTTGTATGCATGCCTGACAATGTCGGGGCATGCTCCTAATGAGACGACGGATGGTGTCCTGGGGTATTTCCTCCCAGATCTGGACCAGGGCATCACTGAGCTCCTGGATAGTCTGAGGTACAACCTGGCAGCGTCGGATGGGCCGAAACATAATGTCCCAGCGGTGTTCTATTGGATTTAGGTCAGGCGAGCGTGGGGGCCATTCAATGGTATCAATTCCTTCATCCTCCAGGAACTGCCTGCATACTCTTGCCACATGAGGCCGGGCATTGTCGTGCACCAGGAGGAACCCAGGACCCACTGCACCAGCGTAGGGTCTGACAATGGGTCCAGGGATTTCATCCCGATACCTAATGGCAGTCAGGGTGCCATTGTCTAGCCTGTAGAGGTCTGTGTGTCCCTCCATGGATATGTCTCCCCAGACCATCACTGACCCACCTGAACGATGTTACAGGCAGCATAAAGTTCTCCACGGCTTCTCCAGACCCTTTCACGTCTGTCACATGTGCTCAGGGTGAACCTGCTCTCATCTGCTCTCATTCTATGGCCCTGTCCAGCTCTCCTAGAGTAACTGCCTGTCTCCTGGAATCTCCTCCATGCTCTTGAGACTGTGCTGGGAGACACAGCAAACCTTCTGGCAATGGCACGTATTGATGTGCCATCCTGGAGGAGTTGGACTGCCTGTGCAACCTCTGTAGGGTCCAGGTATCGCCACATGCTACCAGTAGTGACACTGACCCTAGCCAAATGCAAAACTAGTGAAAAACAGTCAGAAAAGATGAGTAGGGAAAAAAAATGTCAGTGGCATCCATCTGTAAAACCATTCCTGTTTTGGGGGTCATCTCACTGTTGCCCATCTAGTGCACCTGTTGTTAATTTCATTAACACCAAAGCAGCTGAAACTGATTAACAACCCCCTCTGCTACTTAACTGACCAGATCAATATCCCAGAAGTTTAATTGACTTGATGCTATACTCTGATTAAAAAGTGTTCCTTTAATTTTTTTGAGCAGTATATATATATATATATATATATATATATATATATATATATATATATATATATATATATATATATATATATATTTTACTGTGCAAAAGTCTTAGGCACCCTATTTTTTAGTACAAACATTGTTATAGATTTTTATTTTATGACTTCCATATTATTAAGTCAAAAACATTTTAGATTTCCAAACATTAGTTTTCCAACACAAAATTAAATATTACAGAAAAATGTTTGTATGTCAGTAAAGAAGGCAACATATTACGTAATAGACCACTTTTCAGACAAATAACATCATGAAGGCTGCTCGGTTTTGCGTGCAAAAATTAAGAAGCAAGTGCGACAGTCAAAGTCTCCAGAAGAACAGTGGCTGGTTCTGCAAGATGCTCAGTAATTTCAGCTAATTTCCTTATAAAACTGCACAAATTGTACCTGGGACTACAATTTTTTTTAAAGCAAAGGGTCCTCACACCAAATATTGACTTTGTTTCATTTATTACTGTTTACTGTCCTTTACAGTATTTTTGTTATGTGTGTGTGTGTGTCTATAAAGCTCACATTTATTTATTTATTAGACAAACTCAAAAAAAGGGCTAAATTTTTTTATTACTTAATTACTTAATTGTCAGTGGTCATTTGGCATGTTCCATGTTGTCTAAAACATGCAGCACCAGGCTACTGTGCTTTTTAATGGGAAGTTGGGCATTTCTTTATGCAAATGAGTGCAACCCTGCACAAGCACATCAATTCAGAATGTGTGGGATTTATCAATGGCTATTGCTTACAGATCCATTTTCTTGTGCATACGGGTGGGTCCGCACAAATTTAGTACTTGTATTATGTGCACTTTGATAAATGAGACCCTTGGTCCTTTCCCAATTTTCATCTGTCCATTTTCGGCGAGCCTATGCCCACTGTAGCCTCAGATTCCTGTTCTTGACTGGCGGGAGTAAAACCTGATGTGGTCTTTTGCTGTTGTAGCACAGCCGCCTCAAGGTTCACTGTGTTGTACATTCTGAGATGCTTTTCTGCTCATCACTGTTGTAAAGTTATTTGATTTACTGTAGCCTGTCAGCTCTGGCCATTCTGCTGTGCCCTCTCATTGTTTTTTTTTTTTGTTTGTTTTGTTTGTTCGTTTGTTGTTTTTTGCACCATTCTGTGTAAATATAGAAACTGTTTTGCATGAAAATCCCAGGAGATCAGCAATTTCTGAAATATTCTAACCAGCCTGTCTAGCACTTACAATCATGCCACAGTCAAAGTCACTGTTGTATCTGCACAATTT